CATACATTAACAGACAAGTCATGACAGATGACAGTTACAAGTCATGACAGAGAATATTTTTAAAGGCCATATAACCTCTACTGAAGTGTTTAATGCATATGCAACAATCAATAGGTCTTTGATGCACACGGTCACCGAAACATTGTCCAAGGAAATGACAGTGCTCCTACAGCAATGGAACTATATGCAAACATGAAAGTATATTGCTTCAATACAACGTGTGTTAAAATAGAAGATTAACGGTTTTAAGAACTCTGAGAATGGACAAAAGCTTAGAGAAACTTAGTAGCTTGCCCTTCGGTAAACCCTTGCTCAGGTTTCAATATAGTTTTTGCTCACTTGTGCCATTACAGAGAGAACATATCTGAAGCATATCAGACTGATCCCGCCCGTATGGGCAGTTTAGGTACCAAAATGCCAGCAAGTTCTCTCTGCATTAGAAATACAACAACCACAGATCATCGTTTCAGCCTTCTTTGGGCTTCATCAGTGAGGTGTATAACCCCGGTGCCGGTTTCATGGTCACTTGGTTACTATAACAAGGGCACAAACTGAAGAGGTAAAGATTATAAATTAATAAATATTAACCTCTTCATAAAAGGTGCTATGCAAAGTTTATTATATCATGTAAAGGGTCCAAGATACACTATAGGCACCCAGACCATTTCATATTGTTACACGGTTATGTGTTAATCAGTGACATGGACAGCAGATAAGGAGGAATTGTCCTGTAATGTTTCATTTACATTTTAGGTCTATCCTAAGTATTCTTGGCCAACTAACAGTATACTTTTCTACCATCTCTCGTAGAAGGCCGGTTAATGTATACATTCCTTCCTTTGGAAGATATTTCTGCCCTCAAACAAAGCTATGAATAATTATCACTTGTTACCATTGCCCATCAGTGGAAAATCCATCTCAATAAATTTTGTTCACGTATACCAGACACTTTGAAACTAAATCTGAATCAGCAGATATATTACATAGCAAAAAAAAAAAAAAAATTAGATTTACTTACTAAATTGTATACTTGATTATTTTTACTATTTTATTGTAGTCTTTAAAAGTATATATTTTTTTATTGTAGTCTTTTATTGTAGCCCCCACACGTATTTCTATGTGCTCTTAATAAAAAGCATGCATTGTTTATAATAAATACTTAATGGTTAAATATCCAGGAAATGTATTTTTCTCTTGAATCCCTGTCATAAATAAGGAGTGACGACAGGGTTTATGATGTGTGACTCATGGCAAAACTCCAACTTCTCAAAACGCATCTGTAATTGTTCAGTACACACTTATCCCTTCAATTAAAATTTCCTTGAAAACCTGGCAACAAACCACTCATTGCAAGACTATAGTTGTACAATTCAATAAAATCAGAAAAAAATATGTATTTTTACAGGATGTCAGTTTTGCCAAAATCCTTATAGTTTGACCACCATTCCACAAACAAAGGAAAAAAACAGGGGAACTGGTACAATTACACATGCTTTCTTTTGATAGCCTTATAAACGTATTAATTGAACAAAATTGTCAACATATGTTCCTCTTTTGGACAGACTTTACTTACAAATTATCTTAATCAGAGATGGATAGTTAAAGGAATATGGTCAATTATTTAAGATAAAATATTAAGTTATGAAAATGTCCCAAATTATAAAATATCTTGTTTAGTTAGGTCAAGTAAGCCATAGAGGTTTGCCCTTTGCATCCTTATGGTTCACAAAAGCAAACAAAAGTTATTGTCATGTGGATTACTGATCATTAATGTAGGAGTGGTGTAAGGCCAGGTATTAATGTATCTGCTGTGTGTAGCAGGTATGTTAGTTTGGTAAAGGATTACGTCCTACTGTTGTGAGGGAAGATTTTGCCTATAACTAAGAAACTGTTGCCGGAATGTGAAATCGACACCCCAGAACCAGAAAAAAAAATGAAAATGCATATTTCAGTTGATAACTTTACATTGCTACACCTTTAGGCTACCATTAGGCTGCCAGTCATGTTACTTCTGGTTGCTTTGTCCAGTAGAGCCTTTGAAGAGGAGGACTTGCAAAAGACTGCAGACAAGAGATCTGCAACATGCACAGGGTATATAGATATACAATGGGACCTCGGTTTAATGCGCTCTCCGGGACGTTTCTTATTGTGAAAAATTTGTAAACCGAAACACGGTTTCCCATAGAAATGCATTGAAAACCAATTAATCCATTCTGGAGGTGAGAAAAAAGTCAAAATGAGCTGGCATGGAAACCAACCCACAATGCAGAACACACAATAAAAGGCATGCAAACAGCAAAGCTCAGCTCCCTAACTTTCCACAGCTTGAGAAATGCACCACAAAGTCCCAACACAACTGAAAACAATTTCCAGAATGGCCCCAAAACTCGATGCAAAAGCAGCTCCAACACCTCCCCACTCAAAGCCACCTGCTACCCACAGGCTCCAGCATGCAGTGGGTGGTGCTATAAACCTCCCAGGGGCAATGCATCCTCGGGAAACTTGCTTTGTATTGCAAAAAATTTTTGTAAACCGAGGCATTATTTTCAATGGATTTTCATTTGTAAACCGAAAATTATGTTAACCGAAGCATTTGTAAACGAGGTCCCACTGTACTCCCAATGGCAAAATGCATAATCAAATGCATGCATGTTTTCATTTGGGGAATATCTAATAAACTATTTTTCAGATTATATTTTTGTATTTGGGCAGTGGAGTGTCCCTTTCAAAGACTTTAAATTAGGATTTATTTTTCATCAGTTCAATTATAGAGAGTCCAAGCAGAAACCTCAACATGTAGGCATGCTAGGTAGTTGAAAGTTGGTATAAACTCATCAGATAGCATGATTTAAAAAGTCACATGGACAATAATAAGCAGCCCTAACACTGGGTTGCCAAAAACGATTTCTGTTTTAGTAGTACAAACAACATTCTTGGCCAGACTTAAGGCTTGCAAGGCATTATGGTTGTTATAGGTCTACAACTTGTGGAGCTCTAACTTTTGGCTGCCCCTGAATTAACTCTCTCACATTGTACAATCATAGAATGGACGAAAGCTGAGTGAGTCATATGTTCGTCACGGCTAAATCATGAAAATGGATTCTGCTCTCTGAGAATCAATCAGATTTGTAACAATTTTGTTTTCTTCCGGAGAATAGTTTTATCTGTTCGGAGTCTAAATGTCAGACTGTTTAGTACGATTGGTAATGTATAGCCAGGGTTTGACCTCATTCTCTAATCAGCCGAAAAGCTTGCGAATAGTGATGCACCGAACGGTTCGCTGGCGAATAGTTCCTGGCGAACATAGCATGTTCGCGTTCGCCACAGCGGGCGAACATATGCGCGGTTCGATCCGCCCCCTATTCGTCATCATTGAGTAAACTTTGACCCTGTACCTCACAGTCAGCAGACACATTCCAGCCAATTAGCAGCACACCCTCCCTAGCAGACCCACCCACCTACTGGACAGCATCCATTTTACATTCATTCTCAAGCTGCATGCTTAGTGAGAGGAGGGAAAGTGTAGCTGCTGTTGATTAGATAGGGAAATGCATAGCTAGGTTAGGGTATACAGTGTCCACTACAGTCCTGAAGGACTCATCTGATCTCTGCTGTAAGGACAGCACCCCAAAAAGCCCTTTTTAGGGCTAGAACATCAGTCTGCTTTTTTTTTCTGTGTAATGTAATTGCAGTTAGTTGTCTGCCAGCTTCTGTGTCAGGTTCACAGTGGACACTGTGCCCAGTGCCACCACTCACTCACTGGTGTCACAATAGCTTGCCCTTGGGGGCCGGGGGGGGAGGACAGTAGGTCCCCCCTTATCCTTATTTACTGACTATTCCCCTGTATAACAATGTTTGGCATTTAGTGAATATTCCCTATTCTGCTTTGTGTCAGTGTGTATCAGGGATCCTTAGGATAGGTGTCAATCCATATCTGCCAAGTGACCCTATGTAGGGGGAACAGTCTCTGTTCTGCTCTGTGTCAGTGTATATCATGGTCTCTGAGGACAGGTGTCAATCCATATCTGCCAAGTGACCCTATGTAGGGGGAACAGTCTCTATTCTGCTCTGTGTCAGTGTGTATCAGGGGCTCTGAGAACAGGTGTCAATCCATATCTGCCAAGTGACCCTATGTAGGAGAACAGTCTCTATTCTGCTCTGTGTCAGTGTGCATCATGGTCTCTGAGGACAGGTGTCAATCCATATCTGCCAAGTGACCCTATGTAGGAGGAACAGTCTCTATTCTGCTCTGTGTCAGTGTGTATCATGGTCTCTGAGGACAGGTGTCAATCCATATCTGCCAAGTGACCCTATATAGGGGGAACAGTCTCTATTCTGCTCTGTGTCAGTGTGTATCATGGTCTCTGAGGACAGGTGTCAATCCATACCTGCCAAGTGACCCTATGTAGGGGGAACAGTCCCTATTCTGCTCTGTGTCAATATGTCATATGTCAGGAATCAATCCATATCCATTGCGATTTAGGAATGTTAGGTGATTTCTGCCCTTTATGGATTAAAACCAGACTCTGCATCAACTGTGTAATTTTCCATGGATCCCCCTCCGGCATGCCACAGTCCAGGTGTTAGTCCCCTTGAAACAACTTTTCCATCACTATTGTGGCCAGAAAGAGTCCCTGTGTGTTTTAAAATTCGCCTGCCCATTGAAGTCTATGGCGGTTCGCCCGGTTCGCGAACATTTGCGGAAGTTCGCGTTCGCCATTCGCGAACCGAAAATTTCGTGTTCGACATCACTACTTCGAATTAATGGACTGACAGAACTGTAAAAAGGAATGTGTGACTAACTCCTTTCCTCTATCATATTGCCGTTCTTGATAGCATAAATGTAAAAAGGCATCAAGAACAGCTTTTGCACTGCAGCGGTATAGCGACGTCATGAGTAGGGCCGGATTAACATAGGGGCTGATGGAGCTGCAGCTCCAGGCCCAGGCCCATGGAATAGGCCCATTGATTTAAAAAATAAAAAATTTTTACACACTACTCTTAGAGTTGCCAGGTATTTCTCATATATTTCTTAGGGTTGCCAGGTATTTCTCAGAAGTATTTCTCAGGTATTTGAGGCTGCCTCGCCGGTGCCGGTATTGCAGTAATACCAGCAATACAAATGTCTGTCTCAGTATAAACAGAGATTGTTCTGCAATACCAACGCCGGCCAGTAGGGGTCGCTGTTTGTGTGGAGAGAGACAGTGATAAGAAGTTACAGCATCTCCCTACCTGCCTCTCTCTACTCACTGAGAGTCCAGACAGCAGCTCAGAGACATGGGGAAGCTGAGACATTGGGACACTGGGGAACATGGGGACCCTGAGACACTAGGGACACAGTGGCTCCATGTCTCCCAGTGGCCCCTAGTCTGTGTCCCCATGTCTCCCAGCCACTGTCCCTAGTGTTTCAGTGGCCCCATGTCTCCAGTGTCCCCATGTCTCTGTCACCTAGTGTCTTAGTGACATCAGGACACTGGGAGACATGGGGACACAGACTCTAAGGGACACTGGGAGACATGAGGATACAAACACTAGGGGACAATGGGCAACATGGGGACACTGAGACACTAGGGTACACTGAGAGACATGGAGGCACTGGGGGACACAGGGAGACATGAGGACACTGGGCGACTTTGAGACCTAGGAAACATGGGGCACTCCCAGTGTCCCCATGTCTCCCAACCAGTGTCCATAGTATCTCAGTATCCCCATGTGTCCCTGGTGTCTCTCAGTGTCTGTAGTGTGCCAGTGTCCCTAGTGTCTCAGTGTTTCCTAGTCTCCCAAAGTCCCCTAGTCTCCCAATGTCTCCCAATGTCTCCCAGTGTCCCCATGTCTCCTAGTGTCTCAGTGTCCCCTAGTTTAAAAGAAAAAATCTCAGGCACTCACAGTGATAGATTTAGGCAGGTTTATTGGACACTGCAACGTTTCGACCTGTACCCAGATCTTTATCAAGTCTCCAATGTCCCCTATGTATCAGTGTACCCTATGTATCAGACTGTCTCAGTGACTGTCTCAGTGCCTCATGTCTCTCAGTGCCCCATGTTTCTCTGCCCATAGTGTCTCTGTGCACGTAGTGCCTCAGTGTCCCCTCGTATAAAAGAAAAAAATTTCAGGCACTCACTGTGATAGATTTAGCCAGGTTTATTGGGCACTGCAACATTTTGACCTGTACCCAGGTCTTTATCAAGTCTCCAGTGCCCCCTTATCACAGTGTCTCAGTGCCCCATGTCACCCAGTGTCCCCATGTCTCCCAGTATCTGTGCCCCCATGTCTCCCAGTGTCCCCATGTCTCTCAATGTCCCCTAGAGTCCTAGTGACATGGGGACACTGGGAGACATGGGGACACAGACACTAGAGGACTGGGAGACATGGGGACACATGTGTATGTTCACCCTTTTGGCCGTTCTGGTTATGTGATTTGTGTCAGTGGGGATATGGGTTGACTTGAAAGATGAAAGCGTGAGATTAGCAAAGGGTATGTGTTTTCTCATAGTTGCATCCTATGAGTTTCCCTCCAGCACCATCTCCATCAGATACATGGCACTTAGGAGGTAGGAAATGTAACGGATCACCTGGCACCCCGACTGGGTACCTCCGTTGAAAGAAGCTCCTAGCGCTTCCAGAGGACTCCAAGCACTGCAGCAGACACCACAACCACCGAACCGGAGAAGCATATGAATCCTCTCAAGCATATGAATGCTGTAGACAGTTGAATAGGAACCATACGAATAGGTTTACTCTCCTAGCAGTCCAACTGGAACAGCATACAATAAATCCTTCCCCCAATAATGAGACGACACTTCACTTTGAGGGTTAAAACAGGAACTTCCTGTACTGTCACATACAGTCTCTTTTATTCCCAATCTACAAACATAGTACAGCCCACAGGGCGTTACAAAACAACCAATCACATCACAGTTACATCCCACATATTCCCTCCCCTTATCCTGAGAGGAAACTCAATTACACATACAGTTAAAACATACTTTCTACCCAACTTTCATAACTCTAAAACCATACATCACATTCACATAAAATTACATATTCACAATCAATCCATTCAGGGGAACAACATATTCAAAATGGCACAAATCAGACAAGGGGTTCAAAAGTTAGTAAAAAGTCCTTTGTGACTAAATGAAGCATGGCTTTCTGGCCCAAACCAGTTTCAGAGTCTTCTATCCTGAGATAAGTAATTCAATTATCTCCCAGGATAGACACAAGACTCCATTAAGCACATGGTTGCAAAAAGACACAAAACACTTTAAAATACATAAAGTCACATTTACACATAACACACAGACATTTCACATATCCCCAGATAGCTGGGATCTGAGTGCACATTATTAGATGAATGGCACTCAGATCACACAAATAAGCCTTCCTGCAGGGGAAATAAACGGTTTAACCTGCAGGGCCATAGTCCAAAGGGAGCAGGCGAGCAACCAGGCTTCTCCAGTTCACAGTGGCGAGGTTGGTTTCGCCACACTTCTCCCCTTTACCAACCAGACTAACAGGGTATCTGACCTCCTGCCGGTCAGTGCCCTGGTTAGTCCAGCAACCCACCCACAAAACAGAAACAGCAGTACAGCCCACCCACAATAGCTGGTTACTACACCTGGGTAGAGGAGAACTTTGTCCATGTCCAGGTGCCTCACCACGACTGTGTGGGCAACTGTTAGGCTGCCTTGGTGGGTTGCTGAGTGGGCAGAGACCAGCGGTACTTTGCCCTGATGCCAGTGCTACCACGGAAGTAGCCTGGTGGGAGCCTGGTTGTGGGAGGGAGAGACCGACTGTCTCCCCTCTGGATACACCGCTCTGTGGCTGGGGAACAGGACCGACTGTCCCTATCCCTTGTGCTGTAAGTGCAGAGACTACAGTCCCATCTGCACTGTTGGGGGGTGTAACATCTCCCCTTGCTGGGTTAGGCTGCCACTGGAGAGAGGGTGTAACAAGTTCCTCTCTCTGAACTGTAAACTGCCGCTGGGGAGAAGGGGTATCAGGCTCCTCTCCCTGACACTCTCTCTGCTGGTGGAGAGGGGGAGCAGCTGTCTCCCCTTTCATTATTTTGTCCTGTGGTTGGGGTGCGAGACTGACGGTCTCTGCTCCCTGCAGGACACTCCGCCGCTGGGGAGGAAGGACGGCACCCTCAGCTCCCTGGGGTACACACTGCCGCTGGGGAGGAAGGACTGCAACTTCAGCTCCCTGGGGTACACACTGCCGCTGGGGAGGAAGGACTGCACCTTCAGCTCCCTGGGATATACACTGCCGCTGGGGAGGAAGGACGGCACCTTCAGCTCCCTGGGGTACACACTGCTGCTGGGGAGGAAGGACGGCACCTTCAGCTTCCTGGGATGCACACTGCCGCTGGGGAGGAAGGACGGCACCTTCAGCTCCCTGGGGTACACACTGCCGCTGGGGAGGAAGGACTGCACCTTCAGCTCCCTGGGCCACACACTGCCGCTGGGGAGGAAGGACGGCACCTTCTGCTCCCTGGGGTACACACTGCCGCTGGGGAGGAAGGACGGCACCTTCAGCTCCCTGGGATACACACTGCCTGCACACTGCCGCTGGGAGGAAGGACTGCACCTTCAGTCTCTGGGATACACACTGCCGCTGGGAGGAAGGACGCACCTTCAGCCCCTACACACTGCTGCTGGGAGGAAGGGCGACACCTTCAGCTCCCTGGGACTCCTTTTTGGCCAAATCTAGTAGAGATTGCAGGTATTCCTCCTACTAGTTTCCTGGCATGAGGCTCGCTCTCTGGGGGTTAGTCCAAAGGTAGAGCACCTCATTAACCTCTGTCAAACTCCTCCTGAGTGTAGTCATACGCCATGCTTGCTCTGCTGAAGTTAGTTCTTTGTAGATAGGGTCGCTTGCACGGGTACTAGCGTTGCCCAATTTGTAAATCCACCTAACTGTGTCTCCGAGCTGCTTTACCTCGCACTAGACGCCATCCCACCGCTTGCCACCAATGTAACGGATCACCTGGCACCCCGACTGGGTACCTCCGTTAAAGATGCTCCTAGCGCTTCCTGAGGACTCCAAGCACTGCAGCAGACACCACAACCACCGAACCGGAGAAGCATATGAATCCTCTCAAGCATATGAATGCTGTAGACAGTTGAATAGGAACCATACGAATAGGTTTACTCTCCTAGCAGTCCAACTGGAACAGCATACAATAAATCCTTCCCCCAATAATGAGACGACACTTCACTTTGAGGGTTAAAACAGGAACTTCCTGTACTGTCACATACAGTCTCTTTTATTCCCAATCTACAACCATAGTACAGCCCACAGGGCGTTACAAAACAACCAATCACATCACAGTTACATCCCACATATTCCCTCCCCTTATCCCGAGAGGAAACTCAATTATACATACAGTTAAAACATACTTTCTACCCAACTTTCATAACTCCAAATTACCATACATCACATTCACATAAAATTACATATTCACAATCAATCCATTCAGGGGAACAACATATTCAAAAATGGCACAAATCAGACAAGGGGTTCAAAAGTTAGTAAAAAGTCCTTTGTGACTAAATGAAGCATGGCTTTCTGGCCCAAACCAGTTTGAGTCTTCTATCCTGGAGATAAGTAATTCAATTATCTCCCAGGATAGACACAAGACTCCATTAAGCACATGGTTGCAAAAAGACACAAAACACTTTAAAATACATAAAGTCACATTTACACATAACACACAGACATTTCCCATATCCCCAGATAGCTGGGATCTGAGTGCACATTATTAGATGAATGGCACTCAGATCACACAAATAAGCCTTTCTGCAGGGGAAATAAACGGTTTAACCTGCAGGGCCATAGTCCAAAGGGAGCAGGCGAGCAACCAGGCTTCTCCAGTTCACAGTGGCGAGGTTGGTTTCGCCACAGACTGTTTTAGTGTTTTTGGTCAATAAGATTTTGTAATTAGGCCCATCATAATTATCAGCACCAGGCCCACTGGGCTCTTAATCCGGCCCTGGTCATGAGGTGTCTGGAAGTAAGTCCTTTCTATGCACCTCTCCACGACAAGTTCCGTGTTTATGACAGATTGCAGGTCCCTGGCCAATGATAAAAATAATAATGTACAGGGCATCATTAAATGGCAACTCCAGGTACCAAAATACCATTAGGCCCCTGAGGCACTCTTACCTTAACTTTGCATTTTTACACATTACATTTTGTATGCCATTTGAATGCCTAGTCCCCCATCTAAATCCCTCTGCAGCAAAGTAATATCTTGCTCACATTGTATTACTTTACAGAGTTTTGTGCCATCTGCAAACAACACTGAAACATAACTTTCAATGCTTTTTTCAATATTATTTATAAACATGTTAAATAGCAGCAGTCCCAGATCAGAACCCTGAGGGACACCATTTGCCACCTCTGTCCAGCTTGAACATTTACCATTAATGACAACTCCATTTTTAAGCCAATATTCTACCCAAGAACAAGACTTTTCATCTAGACCGATTTCTTTGTGTTTGAACACTAATCTATTGTGTGGAACGGTATCAAATGCCTTGGCAAAATTCAAATAGATCACATCCACTGCAACACCCTGATCTATACTTCTACTTACTTCTTCATAAAACACAATCAAGTTAGTTTGACATGACCTGTGCTTCATAAAATCATGCTGATTTTTGATGATAACCATGTTCTTCTCAAGGAATTCTTGAATATTATCGCCTAATAACCTTTCAAATACTTTTACAGCCACAGAAGTTAAGCTCACAGGTCTATAATTTCCAGGCAAGGATTTTGAACCCTTTTTGAAAATAGGAACCACATCTGCCTTTCTCCAATCCTCCGCAACACCTTCTGAAAGAAAAGGATCTTGAAAGATTAAAAACAGAGGTTTACTTATTTCCCCACTTAGCTCCTTAAGTACGTGTGGATGAATACAGTCAGGCCCTGGAGCTTTGTCTATATTAACTTCCTTTAGTTGCTGCAGCACCTTGTCTCGAGTTAACCAATTATTTTTTTTTAGCAGCAATCATTTGCACATCTATTGCCATGGGTTCTTCCTTAATATATACGGAAGAGAAATAGTTATTTAAAATGTCTGCCTTTTCCTGGTCTTCATTAACTAACACCCCCATCCCAGTTTTTAGTGTACCTACACTTTCATTCTTTGTTTTTTTAGAATCTATGTACTCAAATACTTTGGGGTTGGTTTTGCTCTGTTTGGCTATCATTTTTCCATTTTGATGTTGAGCGAATCTAATCGCCGTTTTGCACACATTGTTGGCTTCCTTATCTTTTATAGGATGTCTTGGATTTGTCCGATTTAAATGCTTTAAATGCCCTTTTCTTATTTTTAATCTCTTGTTTTACTTCTCTACTAAACCACATTGGTTTTAATTTGTTTCTTTTATATTTATTTCCCAACGGTACATACTGAGAAATGTACCTTTCTAATATTTGTTGGAAGATGATCCATTTATCCTCAGTGTTATTTTCACCGAAGAGTTATGTCAGTCAATATATTGTAAAGCTACCCTTAACTCATAGAAATTGGCCTTTTTAG